GGGCTGCGAACGGCCTCAGCTGCCTCCGTTTGCCTCTCAGCCTCTTTCTTCGACCCCACCTGCACTCTTTGCCCCTGTGGCATTTCTCTCCACTAAGGGGACAGGTGCAGGAAATGACACCCCCCCATGGAGGGAGCCTCCCGCCCTGAGGAGCCACAGCTGGCTGGGCTGAGGCTGTTTCTGATGAGAACACTTTGCAATCTGTGGTCCTTAAAAGTGGTACAAAGGGTGCCTCTGGAGGGCTGATTGTTGCTACTAGGTGGCAACCTCATCCCCCTATTAAACTTCTGAGAGCTTGCTGAAAATCTGTAATGGGTGTTTTTTAAAAGCCAGAGTTTAACATGGTATTTAAAAGAAAACTGAACAATAACAGGTCAAGCTTTGCCCACCTGCCCAGCCTCAAAGATAACCAGAAGGCAGGTAGCTTGTGTTCCTTGCAAAGAGTGTGTATGTGTGTGAGAGAGAGAGGTTTAAGAAATAGGTGTGTCACAATCCCTATGCATCTTATCAGATGCCAGACAGTTAGTATATTGTTAACGTAGATTGTTATCGAGCATGGGGTTTTGTGAGAAAGGAAGAAATGCAGACCAACATTATAGTAAGTGATCAAAGCAATGGCATTTGAGCATACTGAAAAAAATCCTCTTGCATCACAGAGATTTTTTAAAAAACTAAATGTGCCTGGTGGGTTTATCTTCAACAGCAGCTGTGCGCCATAGTCTTTGATGAGGCATATTGTAATGGATGCATTCAGGGATAGGGAAATGTTAATGAAAAACAAGAGACACTAAGCATTACGTAACAACAGTGAAAGTTATTGTTCTTAGGCAAATACTGTATTAAATACTTCTTATTAAGCCGATAATTTCCCACAATTTAACATGTGCTGCATTTCCTTATAACATAATTTTCCATATGCCACTTCCATTTCAGACAGTTCCTACTTTAAGAGACAGTCTTAATATGAACTTGCCTGAATACAGTCCTAGTAGGCATCCTTCAGTCTCAAGAGACTATGGTAACGTGATCTGAATAGAGGTATTGGAACAACATCCAGTGTGGCTGAGAAGACCAATTTGAGAGTGACCATTCCTTCCACACTCAAGACAAACACCATCTGTCCCCTGTCCAGCACCCTGATTTTGCTGCTTCTGGAACTTCCTCTTTGCCTCGGCCTGCTGGACAAGGGTCTCTTCAAATTGGGAGAGGCCGTGAGCACCGCCTGCCTCTAGGCTGAACGCTCAGATGTCAAGGTTTCCCATCTTTTGAGATCCATTCCTAAGGCCTTCAGATCCCACTTGCAGATATCCTTGTATCGCAGCTGGAGTCTCCCTCTGGGGCGTTGGATGGTCAAGCAATCTAGATGTCAATTTCTAAGGGGAAGGGCCTCCAGCACACAAACTAACTTATTCACCTGGTTGTTTACATACTGACCAATTAGAGGGAGTTTGTTGTTCCCGGGCTAGGGAAGCTCCACCCCTGTTGCTAGCCCTTCTCACCATGAGGCGTTTGAAACTCCATTGTTGTTCACATGCTTCTCTTGCTTCTTGACCTGATAAAATGTAACACCTTCAGGCTGGATCTCTGAGGCCTGGAGATACTCCTAGCCATGTGGGCTAAGGAAAAGGAAACATGTTTTCTACTGTTTTTCTCTTTCTGTATCAACTTGAGAACTGCTGAATACCTATTCATGTGAGCAGAATATAGAAATCTTTCTTTAATACAAAATTTGCCTCCTGAGTGTTATTTTCTAAAGGTCTAGGCTTTGGTGAAGGGCGGATGAAGAAAAGTAAAAGGGGAATCCTTTAGCTAATTCTGCCTAACAGGCTGGCCTTCTGCTGTGCATTTTACTGGGACTTAAACAAGTTTCCAGAAAATTATCCAATATGGAGCACTTTCCCTGCACTAATTCTCCATACAGGAGAGCTTTTGGAATCTGACTGTCACCCATTCGCACAACATGCCCAAGCCAACGTAGACGTCGCTGTTTCAGTAATGTATACATGCTAAAAATTCCAGCTCGATCTAGGACTACTGCGTTTGGAACTTTGTCCTGCCAGGTGATCCCAAAAATGTGTTGGAGACAACGCATATGGAAGGGGTTCAGCTTCCTCTCCTGCCGTGCACAAAGGGTCCAGGACTCACTGCAGGACAGGAGTGTGCGCAGGACACAGGCTCTAGAGACCTGGATTTTGGTCTATGTCATCAGCTTCTTATTGAGCCGTACTCTCTTTATGAGTCTAGAGAACATGAACTTGCGTGAATACAAAGCATTTCATTTTCATGTAATGAAAGGAGATATGATGCTACATGATCGGACTGTGTGATAGAATCCAGTAGGCAAGGAAGTTGTTACAAGGAAAGTGATACCATTCCCTTCCCAGCTTTCCTGAAGTGACTTTCAGTCTTTCACTGTGAGCCATAACCTGTTGGGCTGAGGACCCCCCCCCCCAATGTCCTGTGCCTGCTGAGAGGGTGCTTCTGCTGCGGCCAGTAGCAGTGGCCGAGTTCAGGGATTCCATGCCTCGGATGCTGTTGCTGACACCAAGCAGAATGAATGTAATCCATGATTGTGATGTCATGAATGGCATAAACTACACTGTGGTGAGCTAGAGAACAGCGTTGTCTAACAAGGTCTGGAAAATGTCGCCTCAGCGAAATGAGACCAAATTCATCAGAGACTATGACACTCTGTGGAAGGTGATTACTGAAGCAGTGGGGATTTGATTGCTAAACCAGGTGTGGGTAGAAGATAGATTGGGTAGATCTGCTGGTAGATCTCAGGACCTTTTGCAATTGGTCAACCTGATATTCTGCCTCCATTATTTATCAATCACAAGTAAATGCACCATGATATTAACTGGTCTGCAGTGACATTTCTGATAACTTGTGCATCTATAGGTGACAGCCAGTGTGGCATAATGGAAAGAACGCTGAATTGGGATTCAGGAGACCAGAACTCAGGATCTCCACCCACCCAGCCCTTTATTTATTTATTTGATTTTTATACCACTCATCTGGTTATTAAGGCTACTCTGGGCAGTTTATAAATTCCACAGCATTATAAACAACAATACAAAAATTTAATTTAATATAAACTTTTTAAAAAATGACAACAATGACAAGTAAATAATTAATGTAACAAAATGGCATGGCAGAGGGTTTGAAAATGTAATTGTTAAAAGCACTGTTGTATTAAGATGTTACGAAGTCCGGGAAGGCCTGTCTGAACAACCATGTTTTAGTAGTCTCTTGAAAGTTTTCAGCGAAGAGGCCAGTTGAATTTTGGATGGGAGACTATCCCAGAGTTGTGGAGCAACCGCCAAGAAGGCCTGTGTGATTGGGTTAGGGTTAGGGTTAGGGTTAGGGTTACATTGTTGTTTTTACTGTAAGCCGCCTAGAGTGGTCTAATATGATCAGATAGGCGGGATAGAAATAAAATAAATAAATAAATAAATAAATTGTTCTTCCTAACGTTTCGCCAGTCTCTGTGGCCATGGGCATCTTCAGAGGACAGGAGTAGCACTGTGCTCTGGTGCAGATTGCTTGGGAGTTATTTATGACTGTGGGATCAGCTTTTGTCCTTTTTAGGAGATGGGTGATTATGGTGATCAGTGTGTTTTTGTTGTGGGTGTATTGTTGTGATAAGGAGGAGAGATTATCTGTCACTGTGATTGATGGGTGTAATTAGCTGGTCTTTTGTGTGTAGTGATCACCAGTCCTTGTGGCTGGGTAGAGTTTGCTGACCTTTTGCAGGCTGTATTTTTCAGTGCTGGGAGCCAAGCTTTGTTGAGTTTTAAACTTTCTCTTTTTTTGTTGAAGCTCGGCTGGTGTTTGTAGATTTCAATGGCTTCCCTGTGCAGTCTAATGTAATGATTGCTGGTGTTGTCCAGTATTTCAGTATTTTGAAATAGAATTTTGTGTCCAGCTTGTTTTAGGGCATGTTCAGCTACTGCTGATTTTTCTGGTTGTTAACAGATTTATTTAGTTTAACATTAGGTGAGTCTACAACAACTTCTATTGGTTCAAAACAATTAAGCTCTGGTAACTGTCCAAATTGTGAAGATGATAACTTTGTCTGGAAATTGACAATATTCACTGAGGGGCTGGCCCAAAATGTTCCCGATTGGTGGGCTTCCTCAGCGGAGCACTCCAGACCACGCCAATTGTCCCACAACAAGAGTGTTTGGCCCAATCTCCCTCCGGCGGTGGGTGGTTGAAGGAAGGGTCCGGCCGAATCACCTTCCTTGAGAGACCTTGTCCCCACGGAAAGACCGTGACCGTCCATTCCAGAGCTTCTGCCAATGTCTCCTTTTCTTTAGACTTGTCTGGGTCAGGTAGCAACCCTCCTACCTTCAAATTAGGGAAGTCCTCCAACAAACCGTGCATTTTATCACATTTGTATTCTCCCTTCCCTCCTTTCCCTTCCCTTCCCTTCCTTCTTTCTCTCTCTCCTTGGTACACTGAACTGTCTCCTCGCACTTTGTTCCCCTCTATCCTCCTCCCACATGGGCAAACTTAATTCCTCCTCCCCTTCTCCCTCTCTCTTTCCCCCTTGATTCCCTTCTTTTCCCTTCCTCCACATTCAACTGCTCTCTTTCCATTGTCTTCTCTCCTTCTATATCTCTCTCCTGCTCAGACATCTCTGACTTTTCCAGAGTTGTGGAGCAACCGCCAAGAAGGCCTGTTTTCTAGTCATCTCTTTTTGGCCTCTCTTGAAGTCAAAACTCTCAACGTCCGGCCTGGGAGGATCATATAGAACAGGTAGATCTAGTCAGAAGGAGACGTTCTACCAGGTATTGAGGTCCCAAACTGTTTAGGGCCTTACAGGTTAACCCCATCACCTTGAACCTGGCAAGGAAACAAAGACGTAACCAGTGCAGGGCAACCACAGTAGGGGAAATGTGTTGATGCCTCTTTACTCTGCTCAATAATCTTACCGCCGTGTTTTGAATCTGCTGAAGTTTCCCATGGGCAGCCCCACATAGAGAGCATTGCAGTAGTCTAAGCTTGAGACTGCCAGTGCATGAACTACCATGATGAGGGACGCAGTGTCAAGGTAGGGATGCAGCTGGGCAATCCGCCTTAGATGGAAATAGGCAGAGTGGAGCACAGATGCTATATGAGATTCCATTAATAGTTCTGGGTCCAGGAGTATGCCCAAGCTGCGAATCTTATCCTTAGCGGAAAAAGTGTCCGTCCCCCCCCCAAAAAAAAGAAAAGGAAGCACCCAGAGCGCAAACACTAGGGGCATCCAGCTGCAGGATTTCTGTCTTGTATGGGTTCAGCCTCAATCAATTATTCAGCCTCATCCAATTCAGCACAGCATCCAGGTAGCACTCAAGGGACAGGTTGGCATCCACTGCAGAAGGATGGAAGGGGAGATAGAGCTGGGAGTCATCCACCTATTGGTGCCCCGAAGCTCCAAAACTCCTGATGACCTCCCCCAGGGGCCTCATGCAGATATTAAACAGCCCTGGGTAGACGATCAACCCCCGTGGTACTCCACAATTGAGACTCCAAGAGGGCAGGCAACATCTCCCCAAACTGTACTCTCTGGGGACGGCCCTCTAGGAAGGACTGGAGCCAGGCCAAAGCCAGGCCTCTGATCCCCAACTCAGACAGCCTCCCCCAGAGGATATGGTGGTCAAGGGTCTCAAAGGCTGCTGACAGGTTGAGGAGGACCAACAAGGACTTGTTGCCCTTGCCAGCCTCTCTCAAAAGGTCATCTTGCAAGGCGACCCATGCCATCTCCATGCTGTGACGCGGCCTGAGCCTAGACTGGAATGGGTCAAGGGCATTAGTTTCCGCCAGGAATGCCTGTAACCATGGGAAACTCATTTTGTGTAGGGTGTGTGTATGTGTGTGTGTGTGTGTGTGTGATTGGTGAACCACTCATTGAACATGAGAATCAGTGTAAGTCTAAAGGGATGTGATGGCACTTAACAACATGTATATGTGCAATTGATGATTGGCTTTAGTCCTTCATTGGTCAGTTTAAAACTATTTACGGCTGGTTCTAGCACAAAATCTGGTGTGCCCAGTATAAATTATAGCCACCCTCTCTTAGAAGACTGTTTGATCTTTTTAGAACAAAACAATTGGCAAAAGATGGAGAAACCCATGCCTGAGTGAAGCAAAGGGAGATGATGAGGAAGAGAAGGTGTTTCCATGGCTATGCTAAGGCAACTGGCTTCTACTCTTCTGTAAGAGTTGTGGCTGAATGCTTTAGGGATCCCTTTGCCGGTCTGATACCCAGCAGAGGTTTAGGAATACTCTTCATGAAGTTGGACTGGTCATAAAAAGCGAAATCTTGTGTCTTTATAGTAAATACAGTAATATGGAAGGCTGGCATCACTGCTTTGGCCAAAAGCAAGCATGCCACTTCTGTTTAAAACAAAGATGAATGGCTATGGAGGTGAATTGTCACATACAAAACACTAAAATTTAAAAAGATAGAAGCCTGTGCTCTTACATGTTATTATTAATAGTTGTATGATTTCCTATAACTGTTGGATGGGGATGTTGTATCCAGTGTATTATAGCCAAAAGTTTACTTAAAGGAGAATTTTTATTAAGCCTGGCAATTCAGGCAGTACAGCAGTTTTGTAGAACATCTGGCCCTCCAGATGTTATCTGCTTGCCTCTCCCATCAGCCCTAGCCAGCTGTAGCAGGTGGTGAGTGATGGGGTAAGAGGCACAACTCAACAACATCAGGAAGGTCACACATTCTCGACCCTGCTGTGACACCCAAGTTATTGGGTTTCATTAAACCCTCCTCACAGTAAAACCTTGGACAGAACAAATTGGTACAATTTCATTCTTATCAGATATGACTGAAAAGGAGGAAGGGAAAGATCCTCTCAAAATCAAAATGGTGGCAGTGGGTCAAAACATGCTTCCCGCTGTCTCCTGTCATTAATAATTATTGTACAATATTCTTCTAATTGGTTGTTTTGGGTTTTTCGGGCTCTTTGGCCGTGTTCTGAAGGTTGTTCTTCCTAATATTTCGCCAGTCTCTGTGGCCGGCATCTTCAGAGGACAGCAACCTGTGCTCCGGTGGCTGTTTTTCTTCTTCAGTTTGGTGTTGTTTTCTTGGTTTGATGGCTCTTGTGATTTCATTTTTGGAGTAGCCATTTGCCTGTAGGGCCCAATTCAGATGGTTGAGTTCTGTGCTGAGAAACTGGGCTTCACAGTTCCGATTTGCATGGTCTACCAGTGTTTTGATTATGCCTCTTTTTTGCTGTAGGTGGTGGTTGGAGTTTTTGTGTAGGTACCAATCTGTGTGGGTGAGTTTTCTGTAGACCTTGTGTCCCAGTTGGAGGTCAGTTTTGCGTAGGACCATGACATCTAAAAATGGGAGTTGGCCCTCTCTTTTCCGTGGTGAATTGTATATTTGGGTGGATGCTGTTGAGATGGTTGAGAAATTCTTCCAATTTTTCTTCACCATGACTCCAAATTGCAAAGGTGTCATCCACATATCGGAACCAGACTGTGGGTGTGAGGGTTGTCGAAGCCAGGGCAAGTTTTTCAAAATGCTCCATGTAGAAGTTTGCTATAACCGGGCTGAGGGGGCTGCCCATTGCCACTCCATCTGTCTGTTCATAGAATTCATTATCCCACTGGAAATAGCTGGTCGTTAGGCAGTGTTGGAAGAGGGCCTTGATGTCTTCTGGAAATATCTGCTGGATAAGTGTCAGGGTGTCCTTATTGGTACCTTAGTGAACAGGGATACTACGTCAGAGCTGATCAGTCTGTCCCCAGGGTTGAGTTTTAGGGTGCTGATCTTGCTTATGAAATGTCCAGAGTCTTTGATGGAGGAGGAGGTTTGTCCAATGTGGGTCTGTAGGAGGGTTGCTAGGTGTTTGGCTAATTCATATGTTGGGAGCTGATGGCATTTACAATCAAGTGGGATTGAGTCCTTGTGGATTTTGGGGAGTCCATAGAGTCTTGGTGGGAGAGCTTCTGTCTTGCAGATTCGTTGAAGGATGAAGGTGCAGGGAGGAACTCCTGATCAGCATGTTTGTTTGTTTTGTGATTTTGTTGGTTGTCCTCTGAAGATGCCGGCCACAGAGACTGGCGAAACGTTAGGAAGAACAACCTTCAGAACACAGCCAAAGAGCCCGAAAAACCCACAACAACCATTAGATCCCAACCGTGAAAGCCTTCATGAATACATTCTTCTAATTGTTTTTCTAAAATAATAAGAAAAATTCTAAACCTTCTAGATGTTTATGGAAAACAACAAGGTCGCCTAATCCCAGTTTTATGGCTGTACATTCTTCCAGGATCTGCTCAGTCTTCAAGAGAGGAAACCGTAGGAAGAACAGAGTCTGTGCTCACCCTCCAAAGGAAGGGGTACACCAGAGAAACAGTGGCTATCCCCACCAGGAGAAAAAAGCAGAAACACAGACAGAGGAGCTGGATGAAAATGGTGAGGCTGTTCTGGGTGTGTGTGTGAGAGAGAGAGAAAAAAAAGGGATGGAGAGCTTGCAAGTTTCCAATTTCCTTTTCTTGGAAAACAACAGGAAAAGAAGACGACCAAATAAGAGCTTGATCATCTCAGTATAAAGCAAACCGTGGCCTTGAGTTTGCAAGAGCTGAGCAGGACTGTTGATAACAGGACTTTTTTTGGAGAGGTCTAATAATTCATAGGGTTGCCATACTTTAAAAGCACCTTGACACCATATAACAACAACAGTTCTCTTGGACTTGGGTGATGGTATGGACAGAAACAGCTGCTCTTGATTGTCTGCAGTGACCATTGAAAGCAATTTGCTCCGAGGCTTGTTTTGGAGACAGAGAGAGACAAACACTATTCTCTCTCTTCTTGTTGTTGCTATGTGCCACCAAGTCCCGCTTTATGGCGACCCACTGAATGGTCCTCCTATCTTTAGGGTTAGGGTTAGGGTCAATTCAGGTCTTCCAGATTCAAGACTATGGTTTCCTTTGTGGAGTCAATCCATCTCATATGCAGATT